CTTATATGGTATACCACACGGTCTGTGTTTCGCCTATTTTTTGTTATATTGTATATAATATAATTATATTTCAAATAATTTATTTTTATGCTCTGTGTAAATATCTGGAGATTATGCTAGACTCAATTGGTAATAAATTTACTAGCGTAAAATTATGTAACGATTATATTGGCATAATAGGTAACTTAATTAAACTGCATTCAATTTGCAAACAATTAAGCGATTATTGGTCTAAGATATTGATCACATTTTGGATAAACTATGGCTTTTTAGATATATTTCTAATTGTTTCGCTAATATATATGGAGGTTATATTTGCGTATAAATTACTGTTTATCTACACGTTAGCGAACGCATCGTTTTTATTTTTGACCATCATTTTTAAAGCCTCGGCTGTTAATTACCAGGTAAACAGACTGTATATAAATTTATATACGTTTATGGTCACATATTCAATGCATAATAAACACACCCATGGCCACCGCATCATCACAAAGCTTATGGTAAAATTTAAATATAAATATATATTAAATTGTTGTGAATTTTTATTTTTGTATTCTTTGCCTAATAGTTAATGTCATTTATAGAGCGAATGAGTGACACGAGTGTAGGTTTTTGGTGTTGGAAATTATTTGCCATTAATTATATGCGATCCTATGAAGTGAGTGATTGATGTAATTTTGTTGCTTGTATTTAATGCTAACCATATCTTTGCAGATCTTATCGTTTTTAGTGATGATGTTTCTCAAAGTGTTGGAAGAATGATAATGTTTGACACACTCTATATATTACGAATATGTAATCAAATTACTCCATATAATACTATTAGTATTATACTAACGAACAAAAGATAGAACAACTTGGTCTCTGAATCTTATTTAATGTGCAATTTCTGGCATTTTATGTGATAAGAATAAATTAAATGTAAATATCTAGGGCTGATAGAAAGAAACAAGCGAGTAATGGCCATAAGTATATAACATGCAGATTTTGGTGATTAGCCCAAGCACTTTGTAAAACACAATTTATCAATGCTATTTTCATTATGTGGCTGTGATTTGTACTGTAAATGTTTGATGTGTATTGTATTAAATGATAAGTTGATATTCATTTATTTAGATATATTGTATGTTTTCAACATTTTAAATGTTGTTATTTTTAAATTTAAATATTTCTATTTTTATGGCAATGAATTACAATTATAAATTTTAATTGACATTAAGGAATGGATACAAAAATAAATAGTAAATTGAAATTAGAATTAAATTGATTTAGTTATCAACCATGAACAATTTAAATTGTGATTTAAAACTACATTTGCTAATCTAGAAAATGGTGAAATTATTTTGTCTGTAACATTTGTGGTTTGGAAGTAATCCTCACCCGAAGAGGTCAACCTTCGGAAACCCTTTGGCACTTGTATTACAATGTAATTCAATGGAAATCACAAAAAATGTGATAAATAAAAATTGTAAAATATTTTTAATTTCTACAGTTTTAATTTTATTAACTTATTTTGTATGATAGTTATTTTATATATAAGATCTAAATAATTTAATACAATTTGAGGCCAAATTATCACATTTTGTATTTCCTGTCGGGTAAAAGTGCCAAAGGGTTTCCGAAGGTTAACCTCTTCGGGTGAGGATTACTTCCAAACCACAAATGTTACAGACAAAATAATTTCACCATTTTCTAGATTAGTAAATATAGTTTTGAATCACAATTTAAATTGTTCATGGTTGATAACTAAATCAATTTTAATTTTAATTTCAATTTACTATTTATTTTTGTATCCATTCCTTATAATAAATTCTGACATTAATATTGTAATTATACTTATTTTATTCTAATTATTGTATACTATAAATTTTGTTTTTTATGTAAAAATTGCAATTAAACCTATTTTATCATATTGTACAGTAAAATCAATTGCACATCAATTAAAATAAAATAATAATGATTGTTTTTGGTTTAATGGATATAATAATTAAAATTATAATGCAATAACATTTTATACAATTAGTTTATATCGTAAATATTTACAACAATATCTGCTTCTGAATGTCACAATTGATGTGTTTTGGCAAATATTCGTGAATTACTGCAATCAATCATTTCTGTGATTATTTTAAGATTTATTTTATAGATACAGGTATCATATATTAAGTAAATTATCCACTAAATCTATCATGCTTTAGTGTGTATTCTATAATTGTATTTCTAAATTATTAATTAATTTTAATTTTAATATAAAAATTTTAATTTAAATATAAATAATAGATATTACCACTTCTTGTCGGTATGTTTTTGAAAGTTTTGGAGTTTTGAGAAATCATTTAAAGTTAAATACAATTAAGTGCCGAATTATAATTGTCAACTAAAATGACTAAATTAATTTACTAACATTTATCATTCTTTACATTATTCTTAATACACTAACAATAAAATATAATCAACGATGACTTGTGTTTTAATTTAAAATTTAAACAAAGTACAAACTATTTAATATTTTAATGCTGTATTAAATGTTGTGTTTAAATTTTCTAATTAATATGTTTTATTGTATTCAAGTTTGAAATTTAGTGTAAAATTAAATAAAAATATTGATTTATTAATAATGTTTAACTTAAAATATTTGAAGCAATGGAAGTAAAAGATTTACAAATTGTAAAACCGTTTGATATTTTTGGCACATTTATAGCCCACTAATATAGAGGCGGAGGCGGTGTTGGCGTTGGGTATAACCGGAAACACAGAGGCGTCGCAAACCCGGAGACCATTCACTCCCTTAACCCTCAACTGGGGGTCGACCACAACGTCTGGCCTTTCTATCGCTCCCATACGACAACTGCCCGACGGATGACTGTATGTGTCTGTATTATACTTAAGATAACACTTCAATCCATTCACACATTCATACAAATATTGTTTGTCCGGACAGTCGGGACACCCGATGGCCGAGAATGGGGGCAATGGCTGTATATAATGAGCTACATGTGTCCGCTCGAGTATATAAAATAGAAATCTCAAGGCATCGATCATATTGTCATAATCTAATGGATGTGATAACCAATTCGGGTCTATTAGTGGTGGCAATCGTGGGTCAGTCGACTGTAATTTAATAGTGCCCTCACTTTTAGGTCTAACTAAATTAACAGCTCCCGATATAGTATTGTTTATCGTTATATACCATATCACGCCATTTGGCCACTCTACATCCTTGTTTAGGGGTGTATTAAAATATAAAACATTTTCGACTGACGATGATAAAAGACCTTGATGATTGGTATATAATTGCCAAAGTTGTTGGACATTGAATTGTGGCGATTGGTTGAGTAAATGTATATATTGTGGCTTTACATCCGATACAAAATTAACTGCCGGATGATCGACATAATGCTGTCCGACCGGTAAGTCCAACACAAGGGGTATATTGAAGTTTTTTAAATGATTTTTCGGACCCACGCCTGAGAGCATCAATAATTGAGGGCTATTTATGGCCCCTAATAATGATATAAATTATGATAATTATAAGTTAAATATTTTATAACATATTACAATTATTACTAATTTATAATATGTTTAAAAACAATTTATGTAAACTATAAATATCATGAAATAAATGTGTATTAGATTTACCGCCGGAGACAATGATTTCTCTGTTGGCGTAAACCGTATACGAGATGTCATTCACTATAAACTCGACGCCAATGGCTGTCAACCCATTGAACAGTATTTTAGTGACCAATGCTTTGCACACNTCACTATAAACTCGACGCCAATGGCTGTCAACCCATTGAACAGTATTTTAGTGACCAATGCTTTGCACACTATATGAAGATTATCCGGACGTGGGTTTGGGTCGACAAATACATTACCCGTTCCTGACCTCAAACCAGATGTATTTGTAAATTTTTGACTCAACATAAAGCCGACCTGATTCGGGCCATTGATATCTGTCTCATAAAATCCTAAATCTTTATATGCCGCATTAAATACCAAACCTATTTGATCAGGGTTATTTGGTGTAGTTATTTGTATGGGTCCATGAGTTCCGTGATATTCCTGTGTGTTTTGTACAATATTTTGATCGGTGTTGTTCTCCCACTCCCTAAACACTGGCAACACATCCCTATAACTCCAACCGACGGCGCCGTATGTATTGGCCCACTCGTCGTACCCGCGACTATTACCCCGACTAAAAGCCATATAATTATGCGCTGTACTGCCACCCAGTGTTTTACCTCGAGGTTCGGGAACCCGACCCCCGGCGAATTTTTTACCATAATTATTGTGGGGTTTGTTATAATACAACCATTCATTAACTTCATCTTTTAACAAATTTAAAAACATTCCCGGAATGTCATTATATACAGCACTTTGTGGTCCACCGGCCTCTAACAACAGGACCCGCATTGATTGGCTGAGACTGAGTTGATTGGCGACTACAGCACCGGCAGCCCCGGCGCCCACGACTATGAAGTCATAACTGCTTTGCCATTGAGTTCGGGAACACGTGTTGTCGTGAATGAGCTGTCGTTGGGCTGTAATCCACGCGACGGCCAATAGTTTGTACGCAAATGGAGTTATATTTACCATAATTTAATTTTTATAAATTGTAAAATTTTTTACTATTTAAAGTTTTAGTATTATTAGTGTAAATTGTTTTGCAACATACTGTAAGTTTAAAAGTTTGAATAAGTTAAAATTTAGCATGTGTTTTTATTTTATTATTTAATGGGATAACATAATAGACATGTATATTAAAACATAAAAACATTTTTAAATTTAATTACTTTTTAAACACGTTTATTGACTTCTAATTATTATCAATTAAACTGATAGTATCAATGTTCTGGTTATGGCCAGTGATATAATTACATTTAGTAAATTAATGGAAATGAAATGATTCACATAAACTTATATTTAATGTATTGAAATTATTAAAAATAATTTTATCTAAAACAATATAAGTTTAATAAAACAAATAAGATTTATAAATTATAAAACTGTTTGATATTTTTGGCACATTTATAGCCCACTAATATAGAGGCGGAGGCGGTGTTGGCGTTGGGTATAACCGGAAACACAGAGGCGTCGCAAACCCTTAGATTGTTGGCCCCCTTAACCCTCAACTGGGGGTCGACCACAACGTCCGGCCTCTCTATCGCTCCCATACGACAACTGCCCGCCGGATGCCAAAACGATAATGTATTGTATTTAATATAACACTTCAATCCATTCACACATTCATATAAATACTGTTTGTCCGGACAGTCGGGACACCCGATGGCCGAGAATGGGGGCAATGGCTGTATATAATGAGCTACTTGTGTCCGCTCGAGTATATAAAATAAGAAACTCAAGGCATTAATAGTGTTGTCATAATCTATTGGATGTGATAACCAATTCGGGTCTATTAGTGGTGGTAATCGGGGATCAGTTGACTGTAATCTAATAGTGCCCTCACTTTTGAGTCTCGTTAAGGAAATAGCTCCGTGTAGAGTAGTGTTTGTAGCGTAATAAAATAACATGGCATTTGGCCATTCTACCTCTTTGTTTTGACGTGTATTAAAATATAATAAAAAATTTACAAAAGATGATAATGGACCATGGTAATTGGCATATAATTGGCTCAATTGCTTAACATTGATTTGTGGCGATTCGTTGAGTAGATGTAGATATTGTTGCTTTACATCCAATAGTATACTAACGACCGCATGATTGACAAAATGTTGTCCGACCGGTAAGTCCAACACAAGTGTTATATTAAAGTTATTTAAGTGACTTTTCGGACCCACGCCTGAGAGCATCAATAATTGAGGACTATTTATGGCACCTAATGGTAATATAATTAATTATAATTAAGTTAATTATTTTATAATATGTTTAAAAACAATTTATGTAATATATGATATTATTATGAAATAAATGTGTATAACATTTACCGCCGGAAACAATGACTTCTCTGTTGGCGTAAACCGTATACGAGATGTCATTCACTATAAACTCGACGCCAATGGCTGTCAACCCATTGAACATTATTTTAGTGACCAATGCTTTACATATTATATGTAGATTATCCGGACGTGGGTTTGGGTCTACAAACACAGTACCCGTACCCGCCCTCAAACCGGATGAGTTAACAAATGACTGCCACAACGCATACCCGGTCTGATTCGGGCCATTGATATCCGTCTCTTTATATCCCAAATCTTCAAATGCTTTATAAAACACTTGAAAAATTTTATCCGGATTTGTTGGTGTAGTTATTTGTATGGGTCCGTGAGTTCCGTGATATTCGGGTTCATTGTATACAATACGTCGATCCGTATTGTTCTCCCACTCCCTGAACACCGGCAACACATCCCTATAACTCCAACCGACGGCGCCGTAAGTGTTGGCCCACTCGTCATACCCGCGACGATTACCCCGATTGAAGGCCATGTTATTATGAGCTGAACTCCCACCCAGTGTTTTACCTCGAGGTTCAGGAACCCGACCCCCGGCGTATTGTTTACCATAATTATTGTTTGGTTCATTATAATACAACCATTCATTAACATCATCTTTTAATAAATTTCTTAACATTCCCGGAATGTCATTATATACAGCACTCTGTGGTCCCCCGGCTTCTAACAACAGGACCCGCACTGATTGGCTGAGACTGAGTTGATTGGCCACTACAGCACCGGCAGCCCCGGCGCCCACGACTATGAAGTCATAACTGCTTTGCCATTGAGTTCGGGCACAAGTGTTGTCGTGAATGAGCTGTCGTTGAGCTGTAATCCACGCGACGGCCAATAGTTTGTATGCAAACGGAGTTATATTTACCATAATTTAATTTTTTATTAATTGTAAATTTTCTTAGTACTTAAAATTTAGTATTATGAATGTAAATTGTTTCCAACATATTGTAAGTTTAAGGTTTTTAATAAGTTAAAATTTAGCATGTGTTTTTATTTCAATGTATGAATTAAAAACAAGAACATTTTTTATTTAGTTACAGATTTATAAACGTTTAATTACTAGCAATTAAATTAAATTAAAAATTCACTGATGATAAAATTAAATATGGTAAATTAGTAGTTATTTTCATTCTTATAAGTAAATGTTATAATAGTTTATTATTTATTAGATTTTAGCTCTACTTGTGGTCGCGTTTATAAAACATTTAAAAATATAAACCAAAAGCGGAAATATTTTTCATTTAATATATTATATTTGCGTTAAATATTTTTAGTTTAAATAAATTAAAGTTTTAATATAAAAATAACCACGTTTTACAAATTATTATAACTATTTTTTAAGCGTCATCAGATAATATTTTGGATTATAATTTTAAATAAAATAACTCTTATTTAACATAATAACTAATACTTATAAATTATAAGTATAAATTATAAGTTATAATATATAGCATATTATTATTTTATTGTAAAATAATTAATTTTATTCTCGATAGTAAGATTAGTTAATATTCAAAACAAAACTTTTTTTTATGTATAATTAAATTTTATTATTAGTAATAATCAATTTTATTATTATCAGTGTTAATTCACTTTATTCTTTTTAGTATATGTTTTCAAATAAAATTTATAAAACATAACAAAAAAAACAAATGGTTGAATACTACCCACCCATACGATTGCTATGGGATAATCGGTTGCATGGCCATTATATAAACTAATTATAATAGGTATACTTAATATGGCGAACTGTATTAACTGCAATCGTGTGATATATCTCTTCCACCATAAATAGGGCTGTATTTGGGGTCCAAATGCCGACAACAGGTAATAGCTATACATAACTGTGTGTACAATAGAGTTAAGCAAACAAAACACTTCTACGGCTACGGTTTGTGGACACAGTTTTGCTGTCATATATCCCAATACAGGAACTAAACGATGGTAAAATGATAATATATTAAATATATTAACTGTTAATTACCCATAAAATGATGGTAAACGTGAAGAAAGGAGACTTGGTTTGACTTTTTTCGCAACACAAAGAATACGGTATCGAATAAATCAAAGAGTTTAGTGTAGGCGTAGAACGCTTTCTCTGGTAATTCACCGATCGCTTTGTCCGACCACTGGTTACGGGCCGGGAGTCTAGTTAGCCATGACTTGCGGCCGTAGTCTAACCATTTGACGGACGCGTAAACAAAGTATGCGTTGATTACGACTAATATAAAGTTATAAATCATTATTATTTCGCGCAAAACAAACGGATTTCTATGTTTCATGAGATTTGGTCCCAATTTTGTGACAAATAATAGCCATAACAACATAATTGTCATTATTATTTCGGGTCCGCCACTCATTAGCGGGTAGACAACGATTTGGGGGTCCGTCTCTTCGACCCAATAGTCGTGTAAAATATATTTTAATGAATCCATGGATACGTTGCAGAGATTCCACAATTTTTGGTTAAATAAAACTTTTAAAATGATGGCAGTGTTAAGTAAAAATGCATATTCAACAAGTTGATTTTACTTAAATACTTGTGTTATTTTATCAAATCTTATATGCGAATAGATTTTAATTGTTTTTGTTTGTCGCTATATTGTATTTATAGCAATATCTTCCTATAAGTTTCAAACATATATGGAGATTACACCAATTTAACATGATTGATTATAATAGTTGCTGAATGAATTGTTAATTATAGTTTATATTTTATTTTACAGTTTGAATACACATTTATTCTGCACTATATTTTTCCTTTTAAAAACAATTTGCATTTTATTTACCAGTAAATATTATTATAATAAATTTAATAAGAGAGAGAGAGAGAGAGAAAGAGAGAGAGAGATTACGCGTCCGTCAAATGGTTAGACTACGGCCGCAAGTCATGGCTAACTAGACTCCCGGCCCGTAACCAGTGGTCGGACAAAGCGATCGGTGAATTACCAGAGAAAGAGAGAGAGAGAGAGAGAGAGAGAGAGAGAATTTGCAAAAACGGGGAAAATTTGCAATAACTATTTATAGCTTAACGGTTTTAAGGATTTTTGTTTAAATTATAATTTTTGTTTCCTAGTTAAATTTACTGTTGAAAATATAGATATACACGAAATATCAATTAAGAATTTTTATTAGTTTTTTAATTGTAAAGTAATAATTATTTTTATTATTATGTTTATAATAACTGTTAATTTATAATAAATTATTTTATTTAAATATACAATATATTTTATTGTGTAATTTGAATTAATTACAAATTTTGTTGATAAGTATAATATATACAATTAAGGTACATTTGAATTAAAAACAATTAGAAATATTAATTATTTAAATGAACTTGAAATTAATTGTATTTATTATTTGTATGTACAATATATTTAAATATAATTTATTTAATAGATATACTGTATATTGATTTTATAATTATGTTTACTTATACTTAAAATTAATGTGTGGTAATAATTATAATACAACAGATATTTGCAATTAATATAACTATTTAATAAAAAAATAAATATTTATACAAGCAAATCCTAAGACAACTAACATTTTTATTTTATCTAAATTCTATTAGGTATAATGTTTAATGTCACATGCCCGTATGTTTAATAAATTAGTACAGTGCAATAAAATAACAATAATAGTTATTTTAACAACAAAGTTCGAATCTAATAATAGTTTTTACCACAATGAAATTATAAGACAGTAACTTTAACATGAACATATTGTAGATACAACATGGAAACTCATTTATACAGGACAGGGCTTTTATTGATTGACACTAACCGTAATAATCGGCATTTTATACATAACCCGTTACTTATATTTGTGACAAACGTGTGGTTTTGGTTGCGATCAGTACTTATACTCCTGATTGGTAATTATGATT